CTATTCTATTCTATTCTATTCTATTCTATTCTATTCTATTCTATTCTTCATTCCATTATTCTATTCTGTTCTGTTCTGTTTTATTCCTATTCCTATTCCGTTCCATGCCGTTCCATTCCATTCCACTCCATTCCTTTCCATTCCATTCTATTATATTTTATTCTTATTCTATTCTATTCTTCATTCCATTATTCTATTCTATTCTGTTCTGTTCTGTTCTGTTTTATTCCTATTACTATTCCGTTCCACTCCACTCCACTCCACTCCACTCCACTCCACTCTATTTCTATTTCTATTTCTATTCTATTCTATTCTATTCTATTCTATTCTATTCTATTCTATTCTATTCTATTCTATTCTATTCTATTCTATTCCATTCCATTCCATTCCATTTCTATTCTGTTCTGTTCTGTTCTGTTCTGTTCTATTCTATTCTATTCTATTCTATTCTATTCTATTCTATTCTATTCTTCATTCCATTATTCTGTTCTGTTCTGTTTTATTCCTATTCCTATTCCGTTCTGTTCTCTTCTATTCCATTCCGTTCCATTCCATTCCATTCCTTGTTCTATCTTATTCCAATTCCTATTTCTATTCCTATCCAAGTTCTGAGATGTCCCAGATTTCTCTCAGCGCTTCCTGCTGAGAGGTTTCCCCACCTGCCTAAGGGGCTTCTCTTTCGCCCCAGAAGAAACGGAGGCCTGTCCCAGGGCTCCCTTTGGACACACCTGTCAGCCTCAGCACTTGCAGGCTGATGAGGGGCCTCAGGGCCACGCGGCTGATGGTGCGCAGGTTGTTCTTGCTGAGGTCCAGTAAGGCCAGCGAGGTCAGTCCAGTCAGCGCTTGGTCCTCCAGGGACTCGATGCTGTTCTCTTGCAGGTGAAGTTCCTGCAGCCTCTGCGAAGGGGAACAAGAGTCAGCAGAAAACCCTCCGGCTCTCCCAGTCCTTCCTCCTCGCATGTCAAAATTCTGAGACAGACATCTCAAAAGTTCTGTTTTATTTGGATAGCAAACTGGCACATCTGGGAAATCCCCAATCTGACAGTTCCGGGTTTCCTTGCAATAAGTAAAAAAAAACCACAAATCCACCCCCTTCACCCATCATTGCATCGCCCGCCCCAATCACCATCCATCCCAACTTGAGACGTTCCCTCACCCAGGTGCAGAGATAACACGACCTTGACATTAGAAAAAGAATGCTATTATGTCTAACCACATACACTCCAAGAAATTCCCCCCCCCTCCCATTTTCCTCAAGGCTCAAGAGGGTGGCCGTGTGGAAGCGTCTGGAGTCTCCAAACTTGGCAACCGTAAGACTTGTGGACTTCAAACTTTTTAGTATAAATTTTATTGTTATTGTACGTATATAAGTCTACACATACAACGAAAATAATTCACATAACATCCAGAGACCAGACCCAACACACACACACACACACACACACACACCTCCAGTTCACAAAAAGTGAAATCTGGGAGTCGGGTGATCTGGTTGCCGGAGAGGTAAAGGACGCGCAGGTGTTCCAGGCCTTTGAAGATGCTGCTGTTGATCAGATGGATGCGGTTGCCATTCAGCGCCAGCTCCAGCAGCCGATTCTGGGGGTGGAAGGCGCCAGGCTCCAGGGCGGAGATGGTGTTGTTCTGCATGTAGAGATAGCGGAGGTCCAGAAGGGAGGCCAGGTCTTGCTGGCGGATCTGGGTGATGCTGTTATCCTGCAGGAAAATGGTCTGCCCGGGAGGGAAGGGGAGACAAAGGCCAGATCCAGTCAAGGCTGGGACGCAGGTCCCTTGTTGACCTAAACTACATTGGGGGGGGGGTGTCCTTGGGGCTCTCTGAGCCTGGTGGTTTCCTTGCAGACGTTTCATGACCCAACTAGGGAATATCATCAGTCCTAGAAAGGAGTAAGATTTGTGGAGAGGAGGAGGAGGAGGAGGAGGAGGAGGAGGAGGAGGAGGAGGAGGAGGAGGGGGGGGGGGGGGGGGGGGGGGGGGAGGGGGAGGAGGAGGAGGAGGAGGAGGAGGAGGAGGAGGAGGGAGTCCTTGGTGCTCTCTGAGCCTGGCTATTTTCTTGCAGACATTTCATGACCCAACTAGGGAATATCATCAGTCCTACAAAGGAGTAAGGTTTGTGGAAAAGAGGGGGAGGAGGAGAACTGTGGGTTCCTTGGTGTTCTTTGAGCGTTGTTGTTTTCTTGCAGACGTTTCAGTACCCAACTAGGTAACATAATCAGTGTGAGAAGGATTGGGGGTTTTGGAGAGGAGAAGGAGGAAGGAGTCCTTGGTGCTCTCTGAGCCTGGCTATTTTCTTGCGGACATTTCATGACCCGACTAGGGAATATCATCAGTGCTAGAAGGGAGTTAGGTTTGCAGAGAAGAGGAGGAGGAAGAGGAGGAGAACTGTGAGGTCCTTCTCCCCGTGTTAAGGGTCTTCTCCCCTGGAGTTGCTCGTTTGCCCTCTTGAGAGTCAATAAAGTTCCAAGAAGGTTCTACACCCATTTGCACTCTGGGTGTGGAACAATCCGAGATAAACCTCCAAGTGGCTTCTACGACACCGAGAGAGCTAATGACCGACCTTCAGAGCACTAACAACCAGATGACTGCAAAGAATATAAATCCTTCCATTCTCCACTATTCAGTCAGAACTGAAGAAGCTTTCTGGATGAGAAGCGAAATGTCTTCAAGGACTGTCTCTTCAAGAGAGTCCAGTTGCCTTTTGGGGAAAAAGCAGCTTTGGGACAGATTGTTGTGTGCACACTGAGGGCTTCTGCACACATTCCTTGTGTGTCTAATCACACTTGGCCAAGAAATAATATTCTATATTCTACAATCTACAGTCTATATTCTATAACTTCTAAATTCTAAATTCTAA